GGCCCCACTCTCTTTCTTTTCTATTTTTGCTAAAAAAAGGTTCATATGTTAATATTTTTAAGAGTAAATTTTCTTTTTTGGTCCTAAAATTTTGACAATGACTTTAACTAATATTTTATGTTTTAATTAATTGGCTAGATTACAAAAAAGAGAAAAAATCTTTGGACTTTGCCATCTATTTTCTCTAAATACCCTTTGAACATGCCTTCATTAATATTTTGAATGAAGAAGTTGACGTTGTAGGATATGTAATAACATGATAACTAATATGAAAGTTTGCTGAAAATAAAGGAAATGTGGAAGAAGCTATCGTTTTTAAAAGAGGGGATTAAAACAAAATTAGGTACACAGTAGAAAAGCAAACCTGTTACAATAAAGAAATAATACTTTTTAGGCAAAGTTGGCCGGACAATTTAGGCAAGTTTTCAAGATTCTACTACATCAACTTCCTTTCAAAATATTCATGGATTTTGATGCCAAAATTTACCTAAGATCTATGGAGCGACCTATTAGGTTAGCATGAGCTGTTCAGAACAAGCTTCTCTGAGGTACCTGCAAAAACAGGTAAGACGCTCTGACGCTCGAGTTAGTTTAGAATCTGAGCTAAAACAGATCAGCTTCGATTCTCATATATGATTGGGTGAAATGTATGTATATTTATAGTGAGCTAATGAGTAGTTTTACGTCCCACCAACCGTAGTTCACTGTTTTGGACTTAGGTGACCTACCAAGTACTGTGGCCTTACTTAATGACTGGATCGAACACCTCTAAGAGGTCGGTGTCGTGGTTTACTTCTACAGCTCAAGGGTTCCCATTCGATTTGTTAGCTAGTAGTGTTTTCTTCTGGTTGAAGACAGATCAGCCTTCGACCGCCCTCCTCCAACTATGAATGATATTTTTGAAATACTTATGAAAGTTTTTGAAATGGTAGAGATATTTTTGAAACGTTTAGTGGTATTATTTTTTGTAATTTAACCAGGTTTATTGAGTCAAAATTATTTGACTATTTGGGTTGATTTATTTGAAAATAATTTTATGTGAAATGAAAACTGGTGACGACAATGATTGTGTTCCATAATAAACAACCTAAAATTGAGGATCCATTTGATTTTGGGAAGCAATGCCAACGTGGCCATGTCGGTGCTCATAAATGCCCTGAACTGATTCTCTAATTTTCAATAAATGCCATTGCGTCTCGTTTTTCAATGCTCAAGTTAGTCAAGTCAACGACGTGACGAAATTTTATCCTTTTTCGAGTAAAAAAATAAAATATCACTTTTTTGTTAATAAATTAAAAGTTCTTTTTTAAATTTGAATTGTTGTTTCGTTTTAATTAAATCTTCAAATTTGTCAATGGTCTTATTTTTGCTTCAATCAAAATTTATAATTAAAAAGGGCACCACACTTCATATTATAATACATAGGTAAAATATAACATTTAAAGAATTTTATGTTTCAAGAAATTTTGGAAACGTATTGTATTGAGTCAAAACTTATTTTGTCCCATTATTATTGAATGCATAGATTTATTCTTAAAATTTATTTTTCGAGACAATTATATTTGGCTGGGTGAGTCCAACATAATCCCAAAATTTTAAATAAATGGTAAAATTATCCCATTAGATTTACAACATTACAAGTCTAGATATGTAGAAACTCAAGCCTATAACATTTTGACCGAAAATTATTTGTGCCATAATTGTTGAGCTACGGTTCAAGTTGACTATTGCCTTTAATTAGCAACGCATAGCTCAATTGGTTAAGACATATATCATCGATCAAAAAGTTGAAAGTTCGAATTCCTACTCACATACCCTACATGTTTAGAATTATTAGTCAAGTTTTCAATGTTTTAAAAAGATTTATGACTGATTGCGAGCATCCTTATAATTTGATGAGACAATTATTATGAGTACTCTTTTATTTGTTTAATTTACAGTTGAATTCAAGTATTTTAATGATCGATTTTGGAGAATTTTATATATTTATTTACAATATTACATTCCAAAGGAAATCAAATTACCTTCAACTATACTAGTGAGTAGTGCCTAACAATTAAATTATCAAGATATGTGAAAAAAAAATAGAATCTATAAGAGAGAACAATGATTTGGAGAAATGGAAGAGAGATAGGGAGCATGTGCATGAATGGATGGCCTTCAATGAAATAATAGGAGAAGACAAGTGAAAGAATAGAATGGGGGAATAATTCCCCTATTACCACTACTCAATGCCAACCAATGAAACAAATTGATTCCTCTCCCCCAAAAAAATCCCAATAATGTCCCAAAAAGAAAGCCTAAATTGGGTCCATCATCCCCAAAGATAAGGCTCATCCAAAAAAAAAAAACTACTTTTTAATTTTGCAAAAATATGAAAGTAAAAAAACCAATATAAACACAGAGCCCAAATAATGACATACATGATATACTTGAGAATCCAGAAGAGTAAAATCAGAATAACTAAAGGATTTAAAATGTTTTGTCATGTTTGTAAATATGATAGATATTTTAACTACGTGTCGTAGCGACATTGAAAAGAGAGAATATTGATGGTGTGTTTGAATAATCCATGGATAAGAAAAAAAGAAAAGGGAATTATGGACAAAAAAACAGAAGGGTTGAAGGCCACATATGGTTGGTTGGTTGGGCCATAAAACAAAAAATTGCCTTGCTGTTTAGGGTTTCATTGTTGGTTTGATCCACTCATATGGACAGATAGGTCTCAATCTGTCTCTATTTCCATCATCAATGTTTTTGTTCAAGGGAGAGGGGAGCCATTCCATGTGCCCTTTCTCTAACTTTCCTTACATTTCATTCTTCTTTTTTTTTCCCCCTCAAAAAAGTTTAGATTACATCTTGGTTTGGTTTCTCACGCTCGATGGGAAATCCAGACTCGTCCTATAAATAAATAAATAAATAAATCTAAACTCGAGCTCCACATTCCATGCTACACATTCTTGTCCTCCAAACACATGCTTCTCAATCCTAGGCGTCACACCACCCCTAAGTCTACCTTACAGGCTTAATAGTTCTAGGCTACCGATATCGAACCCGCACCCAAAATGCTCCATTAATAGTTTAGATCGAGTTCAATCGTTTGTGGAAAAGGACCAAATTTTTTGTATAATCATGGCATAAAGAAGTTTCCTTGAAAACTTTTTTTTTCCAAAATTGTCTCTAATAATAAAAAATGAGAACTTTTCTTCTTTCCAGGCCCATGGGCTTTTCATTAACAGCAAGGTCAGTAACAGATGGATCCACTGATTTTTTTTTTCTTGGGCAGTCATTTTCTAGTTAAATTACAAGTTTAGAAGATAGAAAAAGTTCAATAACTTATTATATTAGAGAGTTTAAGAACTAAATATTAGACATTTAAGAACTAAATCTTTAGAAGATGCATTTAGTTGGTGTGAAAACAAGATATTAAAAAAAAATTATTTATCAGGTATCAACTAAATATTTAATTCAATCTAAAATATTATTAGTTAATTTATTAATATATATGTTATAAATTTTATACAATTATTATTTTCTTTAAATATTTTAATTTTAACAAAAAATAAATTTATAACTATTTATTAAAAAAAAATAATATTTTTCAATATAATTTTACCTTTTAAAAACATAAAATTGTTCATTTTTATCTTTATAAAAAAGAACAAAACAAATAAAAATCCTTCAACTACCTTCCTTAACGAAATTTATTGGAGACATATTGCATTGATTATGATAAAACAAGGATCTTTTTAGATGCCAATTTGAGCAGACCCAACAGTTAAAAACACCTTATAACCGTACTCCTTTCTTCGAGGTCGAAATCAATCCTACATTTGTTATAGTCAGCGATCAAAATATCGAGAGACATGTCGAAATGTCGACATGTTCGATATGGATATAGGGGGAAAAAGTCGATTTTCTCCCATGTCGTAGACATGTCGACTCAAATGTCGACATGTCTTTTTTCTTTTTTTCATCTTCTTCTTTTAAGGTTATTTTATTTTCATTCTCTCCTACTATGCCACTACAGTCTATAATTAAACGTTCGCATTTTAATAATGTATAAAGTATAACTAATAAGATTTGGAATTTGCTTTATTGATAATTTATAATTCAATCTAATCCTTAGTTACACAATTGAATAATATATGTGAAATATTGACATATATAAAGATTGAAATATTCTTAGAATTTTTAAAAAATAAATATTATTATATACAAATAGTAGTGAAGCATGAAGTAGAATAGGTAACTTAATTAATACCAAAGAGATGATCTCGGAGGATCTAGCGCACTATTTTGATAACTTTGATATATAAATTACAATAGTTCTACCAAGTCATCATAGACGAAAAGTTTTGAAGGTAGTTGATCAAATGAGTAGAATATGAAATACATAAAGATCCCATTGGTAGATAATTTGGATGAATTACACAATCTCGAGGTTGAGGTGTTTGAAAATTGTGTAAATTTGATTGGAAAATTGGATTGATGATTGATTTGAAAATGTGTAAATTCAAATTTGAAAAGAGAGGTAAGGAAAAAGTAACCAGGTACGAGTTAATTAGAACTTAGAAATGTGTTTGGAAACCAAGTCGGTAATTATCTCATTTCCAAATGAATCCTATTATGAAAAATACAAGTAGACAAAAGTTTACGATTAAAGTTTACTTTACATATTCAAATAATTTCTATCMATCTTCATTAGAGGAAAAAATCTTTTTATCGACATTTACATTTTTATAAGTAAAATGGTCTATCGATTATAACTAATTAAACTACCATTCAAGTTTTATTTCCTAATTCAAAAAATTTCCATCAATTTCCACAATTTCCATTATTTTTCTCGAAATATCCATCGAGATTTGACATGTCGGTAAAATCGGGACTTCGATATTTTCATCCAAACACTGGTTATAATAAAAAAAATATTTTTTTTCAAATGGCCATGTTTTCCTAATAAATTTCAAATCTATATTTTATCAAGAAATCCACAAAAGTAACACAAATATTAAAGTTCTTAAATAGTCACAAATCTTCTGTTTGTAAGAGTTACATTTTACAACAGTTTTAACCAGACAAGAACAATAAATGGTGGTGTAATTTATCTGCCTGTAAGCAGGCGACCCTCCGGCGGTGGTACCGGTAAAATCTGCGGTTCGACCACCTGGATAAGGCCGGTAGCCAGCCTTCTTGTCAACTCCTCCACAGGTATCTTCATCACATCCTTCCTCATCCCAATATCAGCAGCATATCTACTGGCACAGTACACCCCGACCGCTGTTGCTGCCATTCCATAGACGTTGGTCGTCACGAGACGCAGTGGTGTCGAGAGAACCGCTGCCAGAGGGCCTCCGACAATCGAAACAGCTTGCCCACTTTGCCCCATGGTCCTCTGATCAACCACAAGAAGCCCAGTTTTGCAGAATATTGCAAAGTCTTCACAGTTGTTTTTGAATACATTGTAGCATCCAAAGCCGTTGTCGAGTAGGTATTTCGCTCGATGGACTACAAGATCGTCGGGGTCGGCCCTAGCAAGGGTGCAAGTTCCACCTCGAGCTTTGGCGAGAAAGAGAGCAGGTTTAACACCATACTCAAAACGATACAACACTCCTCCAGCAAGAAAACAGTTCAAGCATGAGGAGACAACCCCATTCCCTTCTTCCAGCGCAATGCAAGTCGGGCATGGCACGAAGGACCGGGCAGGTCCCGAACTTACCAGTAAGACATCAAGCACAGTCCCGGTTCCTACTTCTTGACCTCTTCGAGTAAAATGAATAACTCTGTCATCTCCAACATAGATGCCTGAATTTTCCTCATCAGGTGACATTAAATATCAGAGAAAAGCAAAACCACACGCTACACAAGTAATGAATTAGTTTCGGTATGAATGCAAAGCCGATACAATTTACTTTCATTATATACATATATGAAAGTCATAGCATAAACAGCATATTCTGCTACAGTATGAATCCAAAGTCGATACAACGTACACCGATCCCTGTTCTCGATTGATTAACAGTTCAACTTATTCCCGTGCTAGTGGTACTGCAGCAATGAAATTAAAATTCTAAAAGAGAAACGTTCTTTTCTACAAAATCACAACCCAATTACACCCAACATTTCAACAGTTCAATAGGAGAACAAATTGTGCAGAGTGACATTCAAGATTCCTAAGAGAATCAAGCCATTTCAACTTCAACTGAAACGGGTTGATCGAATTATAAATTCTGGTGAAAAAGTTCAACTAATGTCAATAAAACAACATAAGAAGAATCAAAATGCGAGGGTTACAAAATCCACTGCGATTCAATCAGAGGCTACCTATAATCAATTACCCAGCAGGGCAGATGAAGATTTGGGGCAAAATTGATACAACTAGAATCGCTTCGAAAACCAAGTGCATATCGATTCCACATAGAGAACAAAGATAAAATAACCTAAATAAAGCAAAGAGAACGAGGAAAAGAGTGAGAACCATGATGGGCATAAATATAAGCAGCTCTCCAAGAGTAAACATGATCACCAGGCTTCAAGCTCTCCCGATTGACTCTGCAAGCAAACCAAACAACCAATTTCATTTCATGTCCGAGAAAAGGGATTGAAACCGAACAGATTAAAGGGAACCAAATTGAAATTGACTAAAATTATCGCTACCCAACAGAGAGAATCGGTAGATAAAATTAAAATACCTGTTGGAAAGAAGCCCCATGACTGTTATCGGGAACTGGGTTCTTTCTCCCGGCAATGAAATGGCTGAAATCGGGAAACCTGATGCTGAAGGAAGAAAGCGGAATGGGGAAGAGATAGGGAGAAACTTGTAAATGTGGCCTCTGGAATGGGCTCGGTGGCGGTGGCCGCAGTGGAAAAGGCGCGTGGCAGTAGCGTAGATCTTGGGCAAAGGTTGATAATTCAATTTGGATTAGCCGCGTTTAAGCCTATGATTAAGTGCAATTTTTGTTTGGAAGAGAAAAAAAACTTTTTTTTTTCCGTTAAGAAAGTTTTATCTTTGTAATTTAACTATTATAATTAGTGTTTGGATATGTATGGATGAATCTCTTGAATTAGTGTTTGGATATGACCAAGGTTCGATCATGTGTCTAAATAGTTGTACTATGTAAAAAAAAAATCTCTTGAATTTGTCCATTTAAGACGGTAAAAAGTTAACTGTTTTTGGAATTTATTAAAAAAAGAAAGGTTTGATTTTGAAATTTTTACAATCAATAAAAAATTTTCTTAAAAAAAAAAATCAATTTAAATCCTACGTTTAAATATGTGGGGCAGTTAATACCCTACTCAAGTTCTCATTTTTTAGATGGGAATTTGTGATGGTTTGATTTGAGTATTTTCTTATTAGCTTGATTTCGGGGTTAAATTCAAATATTTCATGATTGTATTTGAGCATTTTTGTGATATAATGTTACATGTTTTGTTAGTCGACATGTAATGTTGTATGATTTATTTGTTGATTGTTGATTTTAAATTTAAGGTTAATATTGACTCAATAATCTAACTTCAAAGGTAAAAATTGAAGATCTCCTTAAATTTTTTTTTTCTTTCATTTTTTATGGTATAAAGATTTGAACGGCTGACTTAAAAAAAAATGTAATTACTGCTAAGCTAAACTCAACAATATCTTCCCCCCATAAAGGACTACTCGACTTTTTCATCAAAATATGCAACTCTAATAATTAATAAGTTTAATTTAATAATGAATATGATTAATATGGACTGAAAAATAACGTCCTTAACTTTGGCCAGTGTTTGGTTCTTACTTTATTTTTATTGCTAGTTATTAATTTATTACATTGTGCTTGTTTGCAAGCTGTTAACTGAACCAAACTTTGTGGGACTAATATGGTTTCATTCATAGCCTGAAATTAAAATTAAAATTAAAATTAATGATGTTTCTTAGTGGAAGCCAAATTAGCCAATGGCAATTTGCCTTTCTTTATTTTAAAACCCGCTTGCCACTTTTTTTTTTCCCTTTTTTTATTCACTTTTTAAATTTATTTGAAGTAAGTAATTTAAATTTGTGGGATGACTGTGTTATAGTTTAATGGGTAAATAATATTTATTATTTTTTTAAGGTTCAAATCTTCGTACCCCTTCTTTGTTGTACTAAATAAAATTGATCTATTACTCTACAACAACAATGTTAAATATTTTTATTTTTATTTCACAAGAGTCTATTGCATGATGTTTTAATGAGAGTAATTTATATTATAAAAAGAAAAAAAAGAAAGCATTTCATTACTTTTAATTCTCTCCGTGCAGGTATGAAATAATAAATTTGAATTGCTATCCGAATAACTATATTAATTTTTTTTCTTTTTTAAGTACAACATGTGGAAGTGGGGGATCGAGCTCACAAGCTGTCGAAGATATATGTTAATTATCCCTTAACTATATTCGCTTTAACTAAACAGACAAAATTGTTATAATTAGATGAGATATCTTAATACATCAACTAACAATACTTAGGTTAGTCTCTCCCACTTACTACTATTAAATTTTTGACGCGTAAAGGGAGGAATATGTATGTGTGTATATGTTATTTTAAAAAATAAAGAGTCATCAAAATTTTTAGTGATGGTTAATAGGAATATAAGTGTCTGATGCATTACCTAAGTATTATGAATGTTGACGTATCAGTAGCTAAGTATTGTTCATGCATAAATATCCTAACCTCACCCTAATTCAATTCTCTTGTGCATATTCAACCATATTACACATACAACCATTTGAAGACGCAATGTGTCATAGTTGTGTTTGCCTCTTTTTTGTTACGTTTGTTAGGTTTGTTTGTTTGTTTTTTTTTTTTAAATTACTTAACTAACAATGCCTTTTCAACTTGCTTTACTTTGTATAAATTTAGAATTTTGGTGAAAAATGGTAGGAGATGTTTGACTTCTTCAAAAGAATTAAATTGATTTATATATAGGAAAACAAAAAAGTATCCAAATTTATGTAAGTTCACCATAGCATACATGTCTTATCAAGAAAAAGGAAAAGAAAAATTATAGGCTTTCCATCATTATTTTGTCTCACCCCCAAAAGACATGCTTAGGTACTATAAGAGAGACGCATGATTTTGAGTATTAAATCAATATTTCAATTACTCATTTTTGTTGTGCGAGTGGTATAAAGTTTTGAGAGTGTATATATATAATTGAGGTCGGGGAGAGAATTCTTGGTGCAATTGCAGCAATTTTCATACAGTGAATTTTTCTTTTTGATGAGCCGTAGTATTCTTTTTTTTCTAGTTTGGAGTTTTTTTCTTTTAATTTAATTAAACCTGTTTGATAACAATATATATATATTTTAAATTAGGCTTGTTTTATTACAATTTCTTTAGTCTGTTTTCACTTTTCTTTAGAACACAATTGAATTCATAGCAAAATTTTAAAAACAAAAATAAGTTTTTAGAAACTAATTTTTTGTTTACAAAATTTGGGTTGGATTAATTTTTTTTTTTAACAAGTTATAAGACAAAATAACACATAGGTGTGGAACTAGTATTTGTAAATGTAATTTTCAAAAACAAAAAGTTAAAAATAAAATGATTATAAAATGAAGCTTTAAATTCTCGATTATTTTATGTTCATTTGTAAAAGTGAGAGGCTTATTTCCAACATTGTATCTTAAGGTATCTAGGAAAGATTAAATTTATAATAGTCTATCAACTTAAGCTTTTGAGTTATTGATAACTGATTTAACTGTATGATCCCGTTTAATCCAAGGAAATGAGAATCAATGATTCTGAATAAAAATTTTTATTCTTTTTTTATGTTGCTTATTAGATGATAGGAATGGAATTAATTGGTGTCCGCGATGAGATCTACCTCAAACTTTTAATCACTCCCGCAATTATAAATCTCATTACTATCAATAAAATAGTAATAAAATAAATTAAAATTTATTATTATTTTAATAAAAAATTATCAGAATAATATATTTATAACTAATTAGAAATTAGAAAGGAGTATCTTCTCCTTATTCTATTTACAGAGTTTTAGAAAACAACTTCTCATTCGAATTCTAAAAAATTTCGATTAAACCATACAAAAGAAATAATACTCGCACTTGGATTGATTTTCATTCCGATTTCTTCTCATTCCAGCCGCTTCTTTGTAAGTAAACGGGACCTATCCGAAGTTCTCATCCCATTAACTCAGTGAGAGAGAATATTCTTCCGACAATGAGATGGAACAAAAAGAATCAAACATAAGATATGGTGAGTGAGAAAAAAAACATCACTTCCCTTAGAAGTTCTCTTCCCATCACATTTCATCCAAATAATCACTCAGTTCGTTACATTAACATAATGCATAGATTTTTAGATTACAACAACAAAAAAACCCCATCCTTGGTAAAAGTAGGACACAACCCAATAAAAATAACCCTACTTCACCTCCAAAGGTTTTTTTTTCCCTACAAACAAATTCTCAATCTCAACAAAACAAAGATTGAATCAAAAACCAAAACCCCCATTAAAACCCTTTGTTATTTACAAATCCATCTTCATGTTGGCAACGATTTGGTGCCTGAAGAACCCTCTTTTTCTGGAGAACAATCTTCCACTGTAATAACAACATGGGGCAGTTCCTCTTCTACTTCTGCAACTGGTTTTATGGTTCCTTTATGAAGCAACTGAGGCTTCTCTGGCGAAACAGTTGCTTCAACTTTCTTGAAATGGGCTTTCACAGAAAGTTCGCCCACTGACTCAGACAAATTCTCCACAGATTTAACGATCTCGATCAATTTGCAAGCCACGGTTGCGTCTGGAATTATTGCCAGAAGATCATTTGAAGAAGAGGGATCGTTTGAGATTAGTGCAGTGGCGGATTTGAGCGCGTCTTTAAGATCGTTGATGGCAGATTTAGCGGCGTTTAGATGTCGATGGGACGAAGACGATGGATCGGCCATCGTCTTCATCGCTGTGGCCAATGCTTTCAAGGCCTTTCCTGATTCTGAACTCAGGGCCTTGCATGGAGCTTCAATCATTCTTCGGAATTCGGATGGGGCCTGCGGGTAATAACGTTCGAATTAGTGATATGAAATTTCGACGCTAAAACGAGTATATTTAATCTTTTATACATATTCTTCATTACGCCCAAGGAAATGACCTTTTAAGGGTTTGAATTCAAGTTCAAAAGTTTTAGTTGATTAGTGAGAGTCGTAATTTGAGAGAATCCGATAAGAGACCCAGCAAGGAATAATATAAGGGACCTAATAAGGGTTTATAATAGACATGTACTACTTTTCTTATTGCCAATTGATTTTGAGATAGAAAACTCTATGACTATTAATAAGATATCAGAGTTCAAACCACTCAAACGAGTATCCGCGATCGAGATATTTTCCTCTCATTTTCAATTGGTTAGTTTAGTGATGATTTAACGTGACATCATATAGTCGATAAAATATTGTTTGACAAAAAGTTTAGAGAAGGGATATGGGTTTAGTACTTGAAGTCGAGGGGAAAGGTGGGAATTGAGAGCTTCAATGTGGTAGGCACACTGCCGAGCGAAAGATCCAATTTTCAAGTATTGTTTCCATGGGTGGCGAAAGTTAAAGTTGCCATGTCTTGGCTCCCATCTTGCAAAATTTGCCTGCCAAAACCAAAAAAAAAATTAAAAAGGGTTAATTTTCTTTCCAATGATCAGCTGTATTCAACCCATTTTTTTCTTTTTCAACTTAAGTGTATTCAACCCATTAACTGATCTGACTGACAAAAAGTGAACAACCAATATTACAAAAAGTTAGTGGCTTTCATGTAGGGCAACAAGCTAGTGGGGTAAAAAACATTAAAAGGGTCATTTACCTAATTTCCTTTTGAATTAAAAAAAAATTATACTTTTTCTTAAACATATATATATGTTACTTCTGTTATTACATTAGCATGGTAATACGGTTAAGGATCCCAAATTGAAAAGACAAGAAATTTAACAAGGATTTATAATATAAATAGACTATTACTAATTGAAAATTGATTTTGAGATGAGACCTCATTAATAATATTGATATGGTATTAGAGCTTAAAACGCTCAAACAAGCACCTGGTTCAAAAATGGGATCCGACCAAAATCGATGAGCCAAAAAATAAGAGATCTAATAAGAGTCTATAAGTAGATTACTCCTCTCATTGTCAATTCTGGAATATACGTTACCCATTTGTTAAAAATGAAAAATAAGGGACCAAAAATTGAAATTATTGAAAGTTTAAGGATCAAAATGATGTTTTAATTTTTTTTTGCCTGTTTTTTTATCGGGGAGGGGAGAGAGAACCCACCATGGAATCTTCCATGCTTTTAGAATTAAGGACAGTTTTGTATCCTTGAAGGAATGACTTGTCTTTTTCCTTGGCAGTAACTTGCTGATCTTCATCTTCAAAACAGTGAAAATATTCCCCACCAAATCCTGTAAAAAGTTTTAACCTTTATTCCTTAGAACATCTAATTTCTGTGTCAAAAAATGAAGATCATTAAAAGAAGCTAAAAAATAATAATCAGAATGGCATTTTTTGGTTTTTTTTTCTGACCTTCAAGGTAATTGGCCAACTTGTCTATATTGGAAGCAACCGAGTTGTGAAGAGTTTCGCCAGCCCAAACTGGGCAAATTAAGATGGAGATCATGATGCAGATTGCTCCACCAGCAAGAATAGTGGACAGTCTCTGTTGAGCCATCGTCACGAACTCGTCGACCCGATACCCCGAAACCGAAACCATACTGAAAGTCAGTATGAATATCAGCACTCCATAGTCATATCTTGCTTTGATCCCTGGGAAGAACCTTGAGAATGTTGCTGCTGCAGCTGCAACCAACAGAAAGTTTTTGTAAAAATTCAGATATAAGTAATTAATAAGCATTTATAATATATATAAACTACTTCTCTCTCCATTGTCAATTTATTTTGAGAAGGAACCTCGTGAACATTGATAATCTACTAGAATGATATGATATTACATACGATCTTATATTAATAAATACGTTGTTATTATCAATTTATGGTTCTTTTTCAATTTGTTAAATACATAGTTTCATTGCCAAAAGTTAGGTTATTTTTCAATCTTCTCCTTTTTAAATTTTCAGTTCCATTTTACAGGTTATTGTAAAGTTAGGTGATTTCACTTTGCAATAAACATCAATTTTAATTCATCATAAATTTTATTGACTAAGTGAGAATTGTCCTACGTTTAAATTTATAAGTCCTAACTAGTTACTCTAGATCATTATGAATGTAGAGAGAAATGTGTAGAACGAAGAAGGATAGAAGAGTTTTTTTTTCCTCTTTTTTGATTACTCAGGAGTCGGCACCCTTTTGACCTTTATACCTTTATACTTGGAGTATGTGCACTGTCCCCATACCCGTACATACGCAATAAATCATTGTTCGGTGGAGTTGTGTTAAGAAGGAGGAAAAACTTTATGCAATTGGGTTGAAAAAATAAATGACTTCTAACCTTTTTTTTATCCTAAAATATAAATCCAACTCAATGAGGTGAACACTCTCATTTATAAAATTTAAAACTTTTAATGACTTCACCCATAGTTCACCTAGTAATATAATAAGTTTTATTACATCTAAAAACAAATCCATTATTGTTATTAACTTTTTCCTTTTTGAAAATTTTATTAGGTTAATCAATTCACCTATATTTAGATTGGTAAATAAAGAAACCCAATTAAGAAAAAAAAAACTACCTATTAGAAAAACAAAGATGCCCAAAACAATGGGCTCTCCCTTGTGTCCAGAGAGATTGGCTAAATGGTCAACTCCCACTCCCAAAGCACCAGCCAACAAAGTTCCCAAACCTCTATTCAGACCTTTACTAAGGGTAGCACCTGAAAAAAAAAAATTATATGAATATTAAAATCATTTATTCAACAAATATAACATGTAAAAAGCTTCCAAATTTGAACAGGATTCTTCTCATTTTTCAAGCACAAAAAATATACTAACCTACAGTGAATTCAAAGATGACCACAACTGTGATAACTGCCCAAATTCCAGATGCCCCAAAGCCATCATAGAGAGGCCTCCAATAGTAGAACAAGGAGACCAAAGTGAGAGCCACTCCAACTTTGATGGAGTGAATAATTCTTCTTGGATCATCTTGTCCAAGCTTTTTGATTCTCATGGCCACCTCCATGGCCTTGTTCTTCAGCTTGGTGGGTGCTGTCTTGATGTTCTCCATAGCCAGAAACCTTGAAGCTTTGAGAGAGGGAAGAGAGAGAAATGAGGGATGTGGATGGGAGAGAGGATTGCTTGGGTATTTATAAAGGTTTGGTGGCAAGTTGGAGAAGAATATTGAGATTGGACAGCATGTGTTGGTGTCTTTTTGTGGGTTGAATGGACAAAGATTTTGTTGTGTGAGAGATCAGAAAATGAAAGGACTAGGAAAGAGAAACACACATATTGAGCTGACTCGGATCTACTCGGTATATTTTCAATTTAGTCTTTATTGTTTAAAAAGTTTCAATTTTTCGAGAAAGTGGTACCATTTCATTAAGAGGTATGTGAGAAACATACATACAAAAAGGAAGAACCTAAAAAAAACTGTCCAGTTACAAGAAATGGTAGCTATAGAGTAATTAAAAAAAAAAGGTTTCAATTTGATGATTTGAGTTTTAACGTTTTTTTTTAACTATACCATTCTTATAGGGATAATCCCGAAAGTTCTCTCTAATTTCTCGATTAAATTGGAAGAAAATTTGAAAAAATGGCCGTTCTTCTACATTTCAAAAGGTGGTAGACTTACTCTTATACAATTTGTTCTCAATGGGAGCTGTATATATATAGTAGCATTAAAAAGCTAATGAGGAAAGGAGGGGGAGTTCGTCACTGGTTCGTCGAAATCTTGTTACCCTTTAGAAAGACAAAGGAGGCTTGGGTATCGGAAACTAGTAGAAATTTTGAGTTATTTTCTTGATGACTTTTATTCTCCTCCTCACTAAATATTATATTAGGTAAGCCTATTATAAACCAATATAGTTGGGAGTTGAATTGAAAAACATTAAAACATAAAGGATATTACATTGAAACTTTCTAAACGATAGGAACGGAATTGAAAAACTCTCGAACATTAAAGACTAAAACATATATCTAACCTTAAAAAAAACACCCAAACATTAGATACTAAAATATTATATGTTTTTTTTTTACTATGGATCTGATAAATTCTTATTTTATCACTGGAAAACAGGCAGCCACATTTTCAAAGTAAAAGCTAAGTACGGAGTTGTCTGTCTCTGTGTTGCTATAAAAAATATTTGACTCCCCCATCAAACTATTATGTCACTTTATTCTTTGTTTATTAAAATATGGAAGAGAGAGCACTTACTGCACGGATATGCTTTTAGGAGCTTTTTGCATATCCACATCACTCAACTCTATAGATATTTTATGCATCTAAATAGGCACATAAACATAATCTCATACATTTTTCTATTGCTTTTCTTTAACTCATATACCTAATTTATTGATATTTTATGCATCTAAAATATTGGCACATAACATAATCACCACCATAGCCTTTTCTATTGCCTTCTTTTAAGTAATTTGAAACCTAATCTCTGTATTCTTTTTCTTCAATGATTAGAAGTAATTGAGAAGTTTGAATTTGATGGTAGAGTATGATCAATGATAGAATAACTGATGCAATATGCAAAATTTGAAGGTGCAAGAGACCCATTTGATGATTGTCTCTTAGTCTATAGATATCACTCGTCGGGTATAATATAGTCTAAGAGGTCAACGTTTAAAAGGGATATAGATTTAGGCTTTTGATTTCAATAGTAATTTAATATGACATCGCTTCCAAGCCTGCAAGTGATAAGGGGGGATATTTATTAAATCGCTGTTGAATCAAAAGCTTAAGCGGATGGTTTATAGTAAATTTAATCATCAATTATTCATATTTTAACACTCTTCATCGCTTGTAGGCTTGATGAAGGCCCTACAAGTGGTTATCAAAATGAATGGGGGAGGAGTTGACATCGTAGGAATTAATTTGAACACATGACCTTTGTGTTCTCAACTTTCAAGGAAGATAATTGGTACCTTATCCATGAAACTATACTCGGATTGACATCTGTATCGTATTATTTATCAATATTCAGGGAGTTCCATCTCAAAACCAATTGGATATGAGAGTAGTCCATGTTTATTATAAACCTTTGTTAAATCCCTATCTTCTCAATGCTGGATCCTTAACCTGTCCCCTCAAGATCGTGATTCTTTTGGCTCATCAACCTTGGCTGGATCTGATTTTTAGATTGGATGCTCGTTTGAGTGTTTTGGACTCTGATATCATATCAATAATATTCATGGGGTTTCATCTCAAAGTCATGCACTCCCTCAAGTTTGAATAAGAATGAAAAACAAAAGCACTTATCTATTAAGGATCCCATATTGAAAAGAAAAGGGACCTTACATAGGTTTATATAAATATAGGCTACTCCTCTAATTTCCAATTGGTTTTGAGATGGAACTCAATGAATATTAATATGGCATAAGAGCCCAAAACGCTCAAACGGACATTCGGTCTAAAATGGAATCCGACCAAGATCGATGAGCCAAAAGAGCCACGCATACTAATATTATTCACTCAAAGCATGATTAGTACACAGCTTTAGAACTCAGTAAAGTTAATAATTTGATATTTGAGAATTAAAATGAAAAGTAGGGTTGAACTATATAGCTAGGTTCGAGGGAAGGTGCATGAGCATTATTAGTTGAGTTTCCAGGAAAGTGTGGTGGCTATACAAGTTGAACCTAACGCGCAAACTATATTATACCATAAAGGCAGTGAAGACTCTCTCTAGTATTCTTTGTGATTACAGCTCTAATAATCACTGTTTTCCATCAACTTGAGAGAGAGCTGTAGCCCACCATTTCAAATCAAAATTTACAAGAACTTGGCAAGCCAGATTTCACAAAGCAAACTTAATATCAATTCTGTGGTTGATTTACTTGGATTAATGGAACTAAATGGAAAATATTCTTTAATTACAGCAATAGGCACAACGAGTTTACCATTGGTAATTAAGTGGTACGTAGTTGAGATTATCGTTCCATGGTGATTTAATTTTGGATTCACAAATCTTTAAATTCCCAAACAAATGTACAACTTTGCATGCATATCAAGTTAGGCAATGTGTGTTTTCAAATCAACTTTGCATGCATATCAAGTGGAAGAATCAGCGATTTTAATTTCATCCCAAAGATGATATTTTGATTTGAAAGTTTTTGGAAACAGGCGGTTGTTTCTTTCCAACCAAAAATTCCAAAAGATAGAGTCAAAACATTATACTAGAGGACGATTCTCTACTGTTTGAGGGAGAGGAATGCCTCTCATATAAATTTTTCGATGCTGAGTAGGAAGCAGTAGTAGAGAGACATTGAAAGTTTCTACAAAATGAAACCTTAGAATATATGTGAAGTGGGAATAATGCAACAACTACTTAAGACATATAGAATTTATAGGAGTGATTTTAAATCTCGGAAACAACTTTAAGACATCAGATGACACACACTTAAGTTATATCCTATACTAAGGCTATCAAGTGCCGAACCTGAATGGGCTCGAGTCAAACATTTTCTTAGGAAGGGAAAAAATCTTACGTTCTAACTTTATATACATATACATATATATATATATAAATCTTATATAAGGATGCAAATAATGTACTCCTACGTAATGAATAAAGCATTGGTTTTCCACACTTGTGTAGTGTTTTTTCCATTTTGATTTCGTACAATTTTCAAACATGTTGGTTCTAATTCTAATTTTCAAGCACGGGAAATGTTAGAATTACATTGATTTTACAACTAGCGCGCTTTTTTCTTTTTCATTTTTTTTAATTTTTGACCAAACAAGAATATTTTTTTTTTTAGTATTTTACAAACAGAAGCTTATAAAAGGTAAAAATTGCAAATATTTATTTGAGTTTAAGGTAAACACTGCAACACTTATCTAAGTTTGTTAAGGATTGTACATTTCTTTTTTTAAAAAGAGGTACCATTTCATTAAAGGTATGTGAGAAACATAAAAAATGAGACCTAGAGGAAGGTGCTCCAATTAAGAGAAATGATACTGTTTTGATATATATCATAATTACAAAAGAGCTTTGATTTAGAGGATCACGACGATGCAGAGACTCTTATATCCTCCCAGAGATTAGTAACGCAGTTATGTTGTCTTTGAAGGTGTCGACAGTTTCTTTCTAACCAAATATGCCAAATGATGGCTCCAATATCATTGAAAAGATAAGAGACCTGATCACAAGAAACCTGACAAGAGTTTAATATAAGCGAGCTACTCCTCCCATTGTCAATTAATTTTGAGATGAAATCCTAATATCTTACCAATTGGTTTTGAGATAGAATCTTATAATAATATTGATACAATATTAGATTATTATTATTATTTTTTTTTTTGGAAAGATATCATCAATTCATTGAGAATTAGAGCCCTGATCCAACAATTTGATACAGTATCAGAGCACTGGTCCGATAAAAATGGGATCTTAAACCCAAAAGGGACTTAACAAGGAGATGAATTTCTAGGTAGGTGGCTACCATGAGGTTTGAACCCATTCCGAACAACTCACGATGGTTTCCTAAAAAGTAGGTTACTTTGACATTATTTGTACAATGTACATTAACAATAACAAAAAGTCAAGACCCAACTTCAAACAAACAACCCTTTCAACCCATTGAAAAGGAAACCTAAAAAAACAAAAAAACAAAATAAAGAAGATAAAAGAAAGTTATGGATGAAGTCAAACACTTAAATTAATATTATTGAATAATGATATCATCATCCCTGCACTTAAAGACACAAAAATTTAGTCACCACTACTTCCTGTTAAAAGCATTCACTGTCATCACAGAGAGTGAGAGAGTAATTAAAGAGATTGTTTAAAATTTTTTGAGCATTAAATATAGAGATGGTTTAAATTTTTAATAAACTTTGCTAATTAAATTAACACTTAACTGTGAATTTAGATTGTTAGATTAATAGTACCAATCTGATCCAACATATTGATTCGTGGAATAAACCTTGTCATGAAGCACTAATGATCAGTAGGATCTGACTCAATCGAACAGGGACTTTGCCCATTTTACTTTTCCTTTACAAAACCCTAACAAAAATGGAAACAAATTCTGCTAAAGCAATATGAGTAGAGCAACAATATTGTGACTCGTTTCCATTTTCGTTA